TGTCAGCTCGTGGACCAAAGAAAGAGTTGCGGGTTTGATTCCCGGTCAAGGGCACGTACCTCAGTTTCAGGTTCAATCCTCGAAACTGGGGATTGTGCAGGAGGCAACAAATCGATGTGTCTCTTTCACACCGATGTTTCTTTTTCTCCCTCCCTCTGTCTCTCCCACTCTATCTAAAAATAAAATAAAATAAAAATAAATGAAAAAATATCCTCAAATGAGGATTAACAACAACAACAACAAAAAGATACAAAAAAATGGAAGGATATACCTTGGTCGTGGATTAGAAGGATTAATATTGTAAAAATTACCTTACTATCTAAAGTAATTTACAGATTCAATGCAATACCTCTAAAATACCAAAGGCATTATTCTCAGAATTAAAACAACTAATCCTAAAATGTATATGAAACCACAAAAGACCCTGAATAGCTAAAATAATTCTTAGAAAAAACAAAGTGGGAGGTATCACAGTCCCTGATATTGAACTATACTACAAAGCCACAGTATGGTACCGTATGGTACTGGCAGATATACAGATCAATTAACTTGAATAGAGTCCAGAAATAAATTTCCACTTATATGGTCAATTAACCTATAATAAAGGAGGCAAAGATATACAATAGAGTAAAGATAGTCTCTTCAATGATTGGTGTTGACCAAACTGGACAGATACATACAAAAAATAAAACTGAACCACTTTCTTACACTATATACAAAAATAAACTCAAAATGGATTAAAGACTTCAGTGTTAGACCTAAAACCATAAAACTCCTAGAAGAAAACATAGGCAGTAAACTCTTTGACGTCGCTCTTCAATATCTTTTTGGATATATCTCCTTGAGCAAGGAAAACAAAAGAAAAAAATAAACAAATGAAACTACATCAAACTAAAATGTTTTTGCATATTTAGGGAAAACCATCAACAAAATGAAAAGGCAACCTACTGAGTGGAAGAAGATATTCACAAATGATACATGTGATAAAGAGTTAGTATCCAAAATACATAAGATCACATACAACTTAACAACAACAACTACTACAAAAACTAAAAAATGGGCAGAGGCCCTGATTAGACATTTCTCCTAGAGGACATACAAATGGCTAGCAGATATATGAAGAGATGCTCAGTATCACTGATCATCAAGAAAATGCAAATCAAAACCACAATAAGAGACCACCTCACACCTGTGAGAGTAATAATCAACAAATATCCAGGACTGGCAAGGATGTGGAGAAAATGGGACTCTAAGTACACTATTGGTGGGAATGCAAATTAGTGCAGGCACTATGGAAAACAGTATGAATATTCCTCAAAACGTTATAAATAGAGCTGCAATACAATCCAACAATCCCAGTTCAGGGTATTTATCCAAAGAAAACAAAAACACTAATTCAAAAAATATATATGCCCCTATGTTCATTGCAGCACCATTAGTAGTAGCCAAGATATGGGAGCAACCTAGATGCCCACCAATAGATGAATGAAAATAAAGGTGTGGTACATATATACAATGGAATATTATTCAGCAATTAAAAAAAAATGAAATCTTGCCATTTGCAACAACATGGATCAACCTAGAAGGTATTATTACACTAAGTGAAATAAGTCAGACATAGAAAGACAAATACTATATGATTTTACTTACGTGTGAAATCTAAAAAAACAGCCCTGGCTGGTTTGGCTCAGCGGTTAGAGCGTCGGCCTGCGGTCCAGAGAGACCTGGGTTCAGTTCCCGCTAAGGGCGTGTACCTCAGTTGCAGTTTGTCCCTGGCCCTGGTTGGTTGTTCAGGTGGCAACCACTCGATGTGTCCCTTTCACGTCAATGTTTCTCTCTCACTCTCTTCCTTCCCTCCCACTCTATCTGAACAAAAAACAAAAAAAACGTCCTCGGGTGAGGATGAAAACAAAACAAAAAAAAAAACCCCACAAAACAAATATATAAACAAAATAGAAACAGAATCAGACTCTTAGATGTAGAGAACAAGCTGATGGTTGCCAAAGGGGAGAGTGGAGGATGGAAACTTAACAATGTACATAATCAATAAAAAAGTAACTGGAACAAAATATAAATTCTCTATATAGCCCATCCATTCAATAAACACTTATTTAAAGTTGTTTGTGTTAAGGGGGGCTTGCTGTCTAATACCTTCTCTTGAAGGAGGGTTTGAGGAGCAAGATATGAAAGCCAAACCACCAGGCCAGAGACTCCAGCCACATTTTCTAATTGAGTGATACCTGCATTAAGATGATGTTTTGATCTTCATCGATCTGATTCTTGCAGCTTTTTCTTGATTAATTCTGAACTTACAGGGCAAAGGGTTTCAATTAGCCACTCCTGAAAGTGTAACGGGTTGCCTGCTTTCTTTTAGCTCTGAGTTGAATCATGGGCCCTGGACCACTGCGGGAACCCATAGAAAGACCTCTTTCTTCAGCTGACATTTTTTAATTTAAGGAGTCCGCTTCATTTGATCTCATTTGGGATCTCCATTTATTGATCCAGAAAAGAACCCCGAGTCCCAGCTCAAAGTTGGCGGTATGAACTGAACCAAAGTGTGAGAGGCAACCACAACACCAGTGTGAAATGGAACGAGCCAAACTGAACTCAACTGTGCACCGTATTCTACCTGAAATAAGCGAAGTTGATTAAAGAAAAATAGAACTAAGGGTCTTTCAAACAGAACTGAACCTGGATATTTTCTTCAAAAAGAAAAATAAGTCCTCACCTACTGTGTCAAAACAAGTCAAATCTTCAAAATATTTTCTGATATTCTATTCAAGTATCAAATACATGTCAGATGATTTTTTTCCCCAGGCCTACAGAAATATTCAGCAAATCTAACTATATTTATTGCTTCTGTCTCATCCTTTTAATTCCCCTAAGTTAAATCACATTCCCTTTTGGTCACCGCCTTTCAATTCTGTTTCATCTCTAATAGTATGTATGCATGAATGACCAACAAAAGTAGCCAAAAGATTTTTATCTATGTTGGTATAATATTTCATGTTTTATCAAAGGAGAAAATTCGAAATTCATTGGCTGAAGCATCTATGATGATGGAATTTCCTCTTCTTAAGAAGTTTGGAAGAATTTTTGAAGGATGAGCTTTTAATACGTTTCAGGTAGATGAAACATGTCTCATTGCCATCCAGGTAGTTAGCCTGTGGGGCTTCTAGTTCTGACTTGCACACTGCTCAAACCAGACAGAAGAGTAGTGTTTGAATAAGACAGTTGGAGAGTAATATGCCTGTTCGGTTGTTTCTTCATTTGCTGATTCATTCATTTATTCATTCAACAAATATTCAGTGAGCTCCACTGTGATGGGCCATAGTAGATCCAAGGGAATTAGTAGTAAATAAATCATAGCCCTCCTTGGATTCACAGATTAGTAGAGGAAACAGAAATATCAGTGGATAAATCACCACAGAATAAAAGCTACAGAGAAGTTACAAGGAACTCTGAGAACTCTTCATGTTTCTGATTAATGGTGGTGACCATTCTTTAACCATAGATGAAACACCTATTTCAAAAAAATTCGAGTTCAAGGAAATAAGCTTATCCAACTCTATTTCACTGCATTCTGACACGCAGGAGGTACTTAACCTCACAAAGCCCGCTGAAGAGTCTCAGCCTCACAGCAGTTGGCAGGCTGGGCTATGGCTAGAAATGACACAAAATAATTGTCATAGCTGAATGACTGTACACTTCCTTTGGGCCAGGCACAGTTCAAAGCACTTCCCTGCACCCTTAAAACCACCCTGTGAGGTAGGTACTACTGTAACCCCCATTCATAAAGATGGACCCGAGGCACAAAGATGAATAACTCCTCTGAGCACATAGTTTATAAATGGTACAGCTTTTATATGCTCAGTGGGTGCTCTCTGAGTTAACTCCCTGCTATGGGTGTTCTCTCTCTCAACCCCTCTCTCACTCTCCTTCCCCGCCACCCCCCGACACTTGATCCTTTCCCCCAACCTCTCATAAAAATAATGCACAATATTTATAAAAGCAAAATAATTGTACTTCATGGGTTTTAGGATTCTGAGTTGAAAGGAATGTTCTGTTTTCTCAAAAATTAAACTTTTATCTTCTATGAATCCTCTTATTCAGGTCTAACACATGCAGCTTATATTTTTTTAAGAGCAGTAACATAAAATCTAATAGTAAAAATTCATAATCATAAAAATGTATGTAAACTATATAAAAGTAATCATCTATTTTTTTCTATCACTGAGACAAATCAAATTTAAAACAAAATCAGTAAAATTCAGGTCCCTAAATACATTTAAGAAATATGCACATAAAATCACTGCAAAATTATAGGTTATTTAAGAAAAATCATAAGAACACGGCCCTCCCTTTCTTTTCAAAGAGGAAAGAAGAAAGACTTATTGAGCTCCAGTAAAATGAAGATTGGAGCTTTCATGCTGCCTGAGGGACCGAATCTCAGTCATCACGCCTCAAATGCTCACAACCAGAGACACTACTTTGAATTAAAACCTTGTCATCAGAAGGTCTCTGTATTCCACATGTTACTTAAGAGTAAGCTCTTTATATTAGTGTCTTGTGATAAATTATTACAGCTTAATTTGTCAAATTAGCCAGCTACAACCTTGGGAAGCATTCAGCAGTCAGCAGAAATATAAAAGAATAGGACCCAGGAAAGTAAATTATCATTAAGAATGAATCTTCATGGCTTTTCACATTCTTTTGAGAATACTGGTTCTTAGCGATCTGTGAGAACTCGACATGTTAGTGAAATCCGCTGGTTTTCCCCTTAGTGTTCCTCCTTCTCACTCTGTGTGATAATAAGTGCATTCCAGGTATTTCTTATGGCTTGGACCTACCCTTTTCCCCGAGTCACACCAGAGTTACACATGATCCCTGCCTGGCCAGAAACATCAGGGGACAGATCCCACTAGGACCTATGAACAAAAGGGAAACAGGAACAAAAGAGAAAGAAACCCTCCGGACACAGGGAGTATTCAGTGACAGACCTGCGGCCCAGCTGAGCTGAAGTCCTGGTGCATCAGAGAAGCGGCTCTTTTCTGGGGCTGTAACCTGCAGGACAGAGGGACTGGGCTGCAGGCAACCACAGGTTGAAAGGCTCGGGCAATCCCCAACATTCTTTGGTGAACAATCCGGTCTCTTACCACTTGCTTCAGTGTTACCTTTACTTCGTCCCCACCCCTACCGATGCATGGGTTTTTGTTTCGCTCCATCAAGGCCTCCTTCTTTGGTCAGTTCTGCACCAACTTTAATGAATGAATGTTTACACTTGGGAGAAGAAAGTTACCCTCATTCTTCTTCTTTCTCTGACAATTCCTGCACATTTATACTTCCATGTTCATTTTAGGATTTTTTTTCAAGTTCAATAAGAAAAAATACCTTTATAATATTGAGTGTACTCGTGCAATTATTCAGTTCTTTCTGTGACCCCTGGGAGAGTTTAAAACTGTCTTTACATTGGTCCTGGGCATTTGTGTTTTTATTCATTTATTTATGGAATTGTTTTAACCATTATTTTTCTAAACAGTGTTTATTTGTTTGCTATTATATGGGAAAGCAATCGGTTTTACAATGAGGGTAGCAAACCCTCTTGGATCTAACACTTTCTCAGTGTTTCTCCAGTTGTCCACGTGGACAGTTTCAGTAACTGTAAATAACAATACTGTTGCCACCTCTGCTCTCATACAGGAGCCTCATTTCTTATTTTCACTAACTACACTGGCGAGCACTTGCAGAACCTTGCGAAAGCAGCACTGCATGTTTGATTCCAGTTGAGGGCACATGGCTGGATTGCAGGTTCAATCCCCGGCCCTGGTGGCGGTCGTGCAGGAGGCAGCCAATCGATGTTCCTCTCTCACATCGATGTTTCTCTCCCCACTCCCCCACCACCCTCTCCCTTTCTCCCTTCTACTCCATCCAGAAATCAATGGGGAAATGTCCTCGGGTGAAGATTAACAAAAACACAGCCCCATAAGAGGGCATGCTGTCTTGTTGCCAACTGCAGTGATGGTTCTAGTGGGTCAAGTAGGGAGCACGGTACTGACTAGTGGTTTGAGATGATATATAAGATAAAATTGTCATCTCTAAATTAAGTATTCAATTTCAATTTTGCTAAGTTTTTTTTTTGCCTTTTATTTGTTTTTTATTATTGTCGTTGAGGCAAAACTTACTTGTGAAGTGCACAGATCTTACTTGTTACTTTGATGAGTTTTGAAAAATCCATACAGCCATATAAGTCACATCCATAACAAAATATGAAACATTTCCATCGTGCCAGAAAATCCCTTCTTATTTCTTCCATCCATCCCATCCGCACCCTGACTCTGAGGCAACCATTGCTCAGTTTGTCATTACAGATTAGTTTTTTATTGAGATATAATTCACATGATAAATTTGCTCTTTTAAAGTATACAGTTCAATGGTATTTATTTTACAGCAGGTCCTCAAATAATGTCATATCATTCAATGTCATTTTGTTATAACACTGATGAGAAAAAAATCGATTCCCCTTCTGTGCGGAGCTGGCATGTTCTCCTCACGTCTCTGGGCTTTCTCCGGGGACTCTGGTGTCCTCCCACATCCCAGAGACACGAATGAGAGGTGAATTGTTGTGTCTACGTTGTCCGGGTCTGAGTGTGTGGGTGAGTGGCCCTGGGACGGAAGGACGCCCTGTCCAGCGTGGGTCCTGCCCGGTGCCCTGAGCTGCCTGGAGAGGCTGCAGCCACCTGCGACCCTGAACTGGAGCAAGCAGGTGAGAAAAGAAAGCACTTACTTGTTTTTATTAATCTTTCAAAAATGTATAGATAGCTCACATTTATTTCAGTGTTTACTATTAAAAGCAATTTTGGGTCTTTCTTTAGAAGTTTGGAGATGTTTTTGTGACCAGAAATATGCCCTAGGAATTTGACTCTTGTTCTTGTCAATTAGCCTAGTAAAATTGGTTTTGTTATGAGTTGTTTGTTTTGCTATTTCAACCAACCTATCGATGCTGTTAAGTGAAGAATTACCATATTCACAAAGTTTTGCAATCATCACCACTATCTAATTCCAAAATATTGTCATCACCCCCAAAAAAACCTGCGTACACATTAGCAAGCACTCCCCCCCACCCCCGGGTCCCACACATGGTGTCATTTAAGACCAAATGACTGAGTTTGGGAAAGGCCCTGTGACCCCAAGATCTTCCTCAGCGGGAGGGTTAGGAACAGCCCTGAGCCCCGCCCACCTCCTGGCTGCGGCCTTCAGGACCTGCCCGAAGTCTCGGAAGCGCCACTGCGCTGCCCGCCAGCCCTGCTCCGTGATCGGGAGAATTCCGTGGGATCACGTCCGCCAGCCAGGGCCACACTAGGAAATCTGTGGGTCCTCGGCACTCTGTCTTTGTGGGACCCTTTTCCATAAAATACGTTAAAGGATGAATATAATGTAGATTGGATTCCTTGTTATATTCATTATTATTATAGTCAATTTTCATTGTATTATATGAATTGATTAACATATTATAGTATCATTATATTCACTGTTTTCTTCTGGTTTTCGGAGAAATTAAAACGCTTCCGCGGGCCCTGGGCGCTGCGCCCGCCCGCGTGGCTCCGGCCGGCGGGCCCAGGCCTGGCACCGGGTGAGCGCGCAGTAGGTGCGCCGGCCGCCGGTTTATCCTTCTCCTTCCACCGCAGCGAAGGAAGCGTTTTCAAAAACTTCGAGTGGAGAATTAAAATTCAAGAAATAAAGGAACAGGAAAACGTTCCCCAAGCCAGTGGATATCTGCGACAGCAGGTTTCACTTAGGGCGAATATCACTTTACTGCTTTTAACAAACTTCAAAGAGAATGTTGTAAGGCCATTCATTCTACATGTCTGTTTCACATCAGTCACAATTATATCCCAGCTTCACTTCGCTCCCCTTGTTCTACCTCATAAATTGTGTGACTAGAATGTATGTGTAGTGTATGGATTACATTAGAATTGTCAGGAGCAGCCTGATAGTAAGCATTTGCAGCCCCTCCCCCGCGTATCTGAACTGCACCCTCCTCGGGCCCAGCGCACAGCTCGGGGACAGGGAAGGGGCTCCATGTTCTCAGCAGTCCCTCTGGAGAACTGAAACTGCCATCTCCGCTGTTAAACCACAGTGCTCCGGCTCTGTGACAAATATTCATCTACCTGTGGAGCGGTCATCCAAACACAAGGACAAAAGTCCGACTCCCAGTGACACCTCCACTGTGGTGCGGGAAGGCGCTGTGCGGAGCAGGTGAGCGGACCCCGCCTGCCGCTCTGGCCCTGAGCAGAGACGCCGGTTTCCTAGAAGAAAGGGCCTCTGCCAGATGCCTGCCGATGAAGGGAACTTCTGGGGGTCCCACCTTCATTGTCCTTGCTCTTCGGCTCACGGTGAAGACCCCGGGTGTCAGCAGCCGTCCTCGCATACGGAAGCAACTAGAGCTGGAACGGCAGCCGGGCCTCTCTGGCAACCATTTGGGCAGCGCGGACTTTTTACCTTTCGGCCCACCCTCCCCCACCCACCTTGGGTCCTTTCTCCTCACCTTGTAAAGAACCAAGGAAGTGACTCATCCATGGCAAGCAAATATTTCTGTTTAAAAGATGCAGTAAAAAAAAAAAAAAAGTAATGTGGTCAAAGAATACAGATTCCTTATTCTAAATGAAAGAGCTTTAATAGAGTTATAATTTATCACTCATGTTGCATTTATACGATCATTGAAATTCAAGACTGTCTCATTTATCTAGCGATGGGAGAGAGAGCTGCTTCCCACATGTGCGTCTCCCGATAACCCACACTGCAGACCCTTTGAAGCACTAGCACTTGTTAAAATTGAATCATTTTTTTTTATAGAAAATTTTCCAAAATGTCACACATGTTTCCCAGCCTTTCTAAACAGACTTTTCTGAAACATAATTTAGCCTTTCCTGGGGGTCATCCCATGGCATTCTGCTAATGCAGGAGAGGCATGATGGGGAAGGACTGAAAAATCACATGCCTGGGTTCACACTGGACCCAAGGCTGCTGCACTGGCCATGAAACTCTGGGGGGCTACAACTCTCGAGAGATCTACATTCCCATGCACTGAGAGGGATACAACTTGCTACCTCGGAGAATGTTAAGAGGGTTGAGTGACTTACTACATATTTAAAATGATCAGCATGATACATGGGAGAGATTAAGCATTTTAAAAATGTGTAGTAAAAAATTAAATGTATAAGAAAATAAAACTAATAAGCACAATTAAAATGTAATAAAACTATAATATACTGAAAGAGCACGGCTAGGATACAGAGATGTGTTCAAAGGCTTTTCAGTGAACACCATTAATTCCACCTACCATAAATGGCCATAGATCACCATGCTTTCTGAGTACCTTATGTTCTTTTCACGGTTTTCCTAACTCTTCTTTTTGCAGTCAGTCTCCTGGGTCTACTTTTCCCTTCTCACTGGGGTCAGTGCTTACCACTGGTGGTATCTCTTGAAGTATTTTGCCTCTAACATTCTGTGAAACGGAAAACCACATAAGCAAGTGAGTTCTAAGGAATGGGTTTAGGTAGTTTTTTTTTTTTTTCTATAAGGTAAAAATTTTTTGACTTTCAATGCATGTCTGATATTTATTAGTCAGGATGGGGTAGGTTTTGTTGTAGGAACAAACAACTCTGAAATCTCAGGGGCCTTAACACAGCAAAAGTGTTCAGTCTATGTTTCCACTTGGGATGCACAAGAGCTCCACTCGGCATGGTCATTTAGAAACCAGGCCGACCGAGGCTCCATCTCAACTCATGCTTCTGTAGTCCCCAGGTTAGGGACAGGGAAGTGGTGAACCACTCAGAAGGTCTTATGAATTCTGTAGGGAAACACATAGGTCATTATGCTTGCCTTTTATTGGTGAATACAAATAACATGCCTACACCTCTTCTGGAGGGCAGATAAATGCAATCCTATCATGGGCTGGCAATGGGGATGGAAGAGAACTAGGTTATCTCATGCATGGCTTTGGGTTTATACATCTTAACTAATAATAACCCCAGTTTACATTTATTGGATGCTTTCACTATGTGCTATGTACCATACTGGGTGCTTCACATGAAATACTTATTTTCCCTTTTTTACATGAGGTGAATGAATCTTCATGTACTACTTGCCAAAATAGCCTCTTGATATCTGAGATTTATTTTATTTTCATCCTGGAGTGAGTTTTTATCTCAGAAATTTAAATGCATTATTCTTGTGTGTTTGTAAACATTTATAACATAGTAGCTATATTTTGCCAGCTAATTTTGCTTTTGGGAAGTATATGCTTCTCAGTTTGTCATCCTTTTGTAGGTAATTTGTTTTTTCTCTCTGGTAATTTTTAAGGTTGATACTCTAAAGTTGAACTACTGTGATTAAAAGTGGGTTTGTTTTTAATTATGCAACATGGGACCTGTTGTATTTCTTTAATTTGAAGGCTCGTGTCTTAAATAATAAAAATTCTTGACTATTATCTCTTTGCCTCTATTTTTTTCCATTTGGAACTCTTAGTAAACATATGTAGGACTTTATCATTTGATCAATTTCATATTTTCTATTTATCTTTGGCATTATATTCTGGGTGACTTCTTCAGATCTGTCTTCCAATTCATTTATTGTCTCATCAGCTATATCTACTTTATAGCCCAACCGGTGTATTTAGTTTTCATTTTAATTACTCTATTTTCATTCTTAGAATTTTCCCAACTCTTCCTGTTTTCAAATAGTTGTATTCTTTGCTTTATGACTACTGCTCCTTGCTCCATGTCTTGAAATGTTTTAGAACACTTATTTTAAAGTACTTTTTAGATTGTTTTATTATTTACAGTTCTTAAGATGAAAATTCTCCCATTTGTTTTATCTATTGGCTCTCTCTGTTTTTCTTTTTCTTTCCTTTTTGTCAACTCTTCTTTATGGAGATAAGAGAGAAAGGGGAGTCCACAAAAACATCACATGCTCTAGAGGATCCCTGTGGCAGTATTTTTACATTTAACAATTTGGGGCAAGATTTTACGGTAATTTCTTAGTTTTGATTTCCTGTAGCACATGAGTAATAGGAATTCAAGTCTTATACCATTTGTGGCACAGATTTTATTTGTTTGTTTGTTTGTTTGAGTCCTATTACTATCATGGCTCAGGAAAATGACAAGCTCTCTTGCTGTTCCCCAGGCTGTGGACGGCTTCTGTAGTCCGACGCAGAGGATCCGACGGGTCTTCAGGCAGGCAGCCTGGTTTTGTCCCAGGCACTTGTGGGCTCAGGCCTCCATCACTTTGCTCACAGAACTTCAACACTTGAGCTGCCACAGCCACTTTCCTCCTGACTCACTTGTGCATTTTCACTTCACCTCCCTGTTATCACTGTAGCTGAGTGTTCTCTTTGTTTCTGGCACTTGGGAATTTTCTTTTTTTGGTTTTGATTTTGAAACTGTTGTCAAAAATTGGGGAGGAGGGTCTATTTTTCACCAATATTTCCATAAGTGTAAAGGGACTAGTGTTTTGTTTTTCATCAGCTCAGGTTGGAGCTTTCTGAACCGAAGCCATGGAGAGAAAATGTTGTATGAGTAATGCACAGGACTCGGCAAGTAAGCACATGGAATAGACCTTGTTTTCATTCCCCATTCCCCTTCAAAAGGAGATTCTGAGACAGGGACTTGAGAGTAATTAATATCAGAGGTGAGGAAACACCAATAGGGAAGTGAAGAAGTTAGACAGGGAAGGGAAAGTGGACAATAAAGAGTGTTATCAATCCAGTTACTATTCTGAGAAACTGGAACCTAATCCTCCTGGGGAAACTCTAGGAGTTCAGCTATCCTACCCGAGGGGTGAGGAAGCTGAGGTATTTATAAAAGCTACTGCATGTCATTGGTTAAGGATGCTTCCAAGAGGTAATCCGCCAACATTTCCAACCTGTCACGTGGATGAGTTTATTTATATATTGATGTGCAATAAATTATCCCAAAATTTCGTGGTTTAATACAATATTTATTATCTCATATTGCTTGCAAGGGCTAGGAATTTTAGAATAGCTTAGCTACTTGGCTCTGGCTTAGGGTCCTCAGAAGGTTATGGTTAAGAATTGGCAGGGCTTTCATTATCTGAAGACTGAAACTGAAAGATCTGCTTCTGGGATGGCTCACTCACATAGCGGGCCAGTCAGTGCTGGCTTTTGGCTGGAGGCCTCAGTTTCTTACCATGGAGACCTCTCCATCTGACCACTCCAGTGTCCTCAGGATGAGGCATATGGCTTGCCCCCAAAGTGAGTGATCTAAGAGACAGCAAGGCCACAGTGCCTTTAATGAGACGTGAAAGTCCCACTAGTCTTGAAAGCCCCACTGTCATTTCCACCACCTTCCATTTGACAGAAGCAAGTCAAGTCATGAAGTCTGGCTTATGTTCAAGAGGAGAGGGGGGAGGACTGTCAAAGTATTTGTGAACATATTTTTAAGCCATCACAGCAGGCAAAACGGGCTTTGGCAGCCAGAGACAGCCCTTAGGCAAAGAAATGCAGGTGGATTTAGAAGTCAGGCTGACTGAAGTGGTAAGGGCAAAAGGGAATGGGTGGGGCACCCACAGTGTCTTCTGCAGGAATAAGTGAGGATAAGGACATTTTCAAAGCATGGAGAAATAGATTTGCCTATTGTATGGGAGGACTTGCAAAATACACTGCAAAAGGCATGGGGACAGAGAGGGAGCGAAGATTTGGGACATTTGAAAAATCAATCTGCTGTAACTATTAAGAAAAAAAACACTGTCAATTAGATTATGATACCCCATTGATTACAAGATGCATCACAATTTCAGAGGTACAAATACAAGAAAAAAGTACATCTTAAAATCAACAAATAAAGTAGTTGTGCAAAGAATTTCAGAACTTCACATATATAATTGTTGCAAAAACAAACACTTTTTAATTGTATCTTCCATCTTATATAGATGCCACTTAAAATTAAGCAAAGGCAGTAGTTTTCGGTTTCATTCCTTACCAGGTCATGTCCAGAACTTGAAGGTCATTTACTCTCTCTGAGCCTCTATTTCCACATCTGAAATGTAGATAAGGTACTGTTTTGATTCTCTGACAGACCACTTAAAGATGAATTCAAAATAGCTCTAAAATTACAATGTTCTTGAGAAGTAAGGTGCTTTAGATGTGCAGAAGCAACTATAAAACTCAAAGGTAGCATAAAAGAAAGTGGAGTTTTCTTCTTGGAAGCGCAAGGAAAACAGTCACCAGTTCCTCATGTTGCTAGTCAAACTGGAATGATTCCTGTATTTTCAAGAAACGTTACTGCTGAAAGACACGATGGAAAACATGGGAGACGGTGGTGGGGAACTTGAGTGTAGTCCTACAAAGGCAGATCCCGCACATAAAAGAACTGAAGAAAAATCCCAGTTGGTCATTTTCTAGCTGGGTCAATAAACCCAGGCACAGGAGAGCCACACAGCTCACTGGCTGGAGCTCGCAAACCTGGTTATTGTTCACACATGGCCATTTCCGAGTGCTGTCTGCGCAAGCCAAAACCGAGACACAACCGGGGGCTTTCAGCCAGAAAAATCCCGGCTGCCACTTGGGGAGTTGAAAGCTCCCAGTATAAAGAAATGACACACACCTGAGCAGGTCTGATGTATATTCCTCTCTGCAGAGGGCAGTGGAATACATTCCTGGGCCATTCATCATGCTGCTAAAATTAGATCCTGCTTAGAAGGAATGATATATTACTGATTACATAATAAAGATAGCTATATTTCTCATGAGAAACAGAAGGGAGAGATATATTTAGGCGCAGGGCAAATATACCCTTGATATGAAAAATGGATTCATTAAGTATTTAATCTTTATCCCATTCCTGTGAAATAAATGCACACATACATCACACGTGTTTTAAAGTGACTTGATAATGAATATTGTTACACTTGGGAAAAGCCCTGGCTGTCCGTCGTGTGGGACTCAGAGGGTGCAGGCGGAGGCACGCCCTCCGCGGACTCTGAATATTGTTACACTTGGGAAAAGCCCTGGCTGTCCGTCGTGTGGGACGCAGAGGGTGCAGGCGGAGGCACGCCCTCCGCGGACTCTGAATATTGTTACACTTGGGAAAAGCCCTGGCTGTCCGTCGTGTGGGACGCAGAGGCTGCGGGCAGAGGCACGCCCTCCGCAGACTCTGAGTGGAGGGGCTTGCGCTCTAGCAGCCACGTGAACCTCCACTGAGCACGGAGACGGCGAGCTGTGGATTTCATGGCGATTTCACCGTATTTCGCTGAGGCCCGGCAGGAGGCACTGGGGCTTTCCTAAAGTAGACACGGCGTAGGGTTCTGAGTCACGGGGATGGCCGATGAAAACGCACTGTGTAAGAAGAGCCTGTTACTGGAGGACGGCCTTCCTTCACCCCTCTTCCGAATAAACCTGCTCCCTCTCCATGGCATTCTCCTTTCCTCCAAGGTCCTTGCCATAGAGGGCAACCCTCACATTATGTAAAACCTGTAGCCACAGAGGAGGCATTTCCAGATTACCTTGGCGATGATATTCTGACTTAAAACAAACATGAGTTTAAACAAACACACAGATTTGTAGCACCTCATGTGTCAAGGATCAGTAAAAACAATCTGGGTGAAATGAACAAAATAATTCTAAGAATAATAGCTGTGAATAGTAAATTGATCCAACAAAAGTTTATTTGAAAAAGATCATGGGCAGGAGTAAAGTGCCAACAGGCTATAAGGGATTAAAGGCTCATCACTTGTACGTTTATACTATAGGAAAACATAGATTTTGAAGTCGGATGAGCCTGGGTTCTTGCCCTGGTTCTGACATCTACCAGCCACGTGGTTTTTACACAAGTAGCTGACCCTCTCCTGAGCTCCTCTGCATCTATAATACAAAAATCAAAACCATCTAAGCAAACTGCTCTCTCTCTCCCCCCTTCTCTTCCTTCACTCTCTTCTCTCCTTCCCTCCCTCCCTGATGTCTACTCTGATCTATACATCCCTCCACAGCCCTTCCCCACCCCCAACATACCTGCGCACACGCACACACATTTTATCTTTCATACCAAATTTTTACTGTACCTTCCCACGTGTAGATATGTTTAGATACACAAATACTTGCCATTGTGTTACAATTGCCATAGAATTCAGTCCAGTAACATGCTGTGCAGGCTTGTAGCCTAGGAGCCTGAGGCTGCACCATAGAGCCAAAGTTCTCACAACAAAATCACCAAATGACACATTTCTCAGAACAAATCCCTGTCTTTAGGTGACACATGACTGCAAAAGATGGGAAAACTTTTTTTTTTTTAGAACACCATTTTAGTCTACTGATCATACACACAAGTTATCTAGAACCTGCAAGAGGCCCGAACAGAGGCATTTGCCCCAGCCCAATGTCTGCATGCCCTCCACAAGACAGCAAGTATATTTGCCCCAGCCCAATGTCTGCATGCCCTCCACAAGACAGCAAGTATATTTGCCCCAGCCCAATGTCTGCATGCCCTCCACAAGACAGTAAGTATGTTTGCCCCAGCCCAATGTCTGCATGCCCTCCACAAGACAGTAAGTATATTTGCCCCAGCCCAATGTCTGCATGCCCTCCACAAGACAGTAAGTATATTTTAAGCCTTTAGATTACTTTACACTAATGAGGTTCTTTAATTAATTAATTTTACGGCAGATAACAGCAACTTAACAATGAAAAATACTAGTTTACCAATATTTTTAAAGCATTTTATTCTCACCAAACCCTGGGACTCTAGGCTTCTTAACAAAGAGTGTTACATGCTAAAAAGCAAATGCAAGAGTACCAGGATGCACCACTGGCGGCTTCTGGGAGAAGGTGCCCCTTGATCTCAGGTTTGAATGAGGAGAAGGTGGCAGTTGTGGCCTCTTTGGGGAGAGAGATTTCCAGGCAAAAGGAATCTGCAAGAAAGTTCCATGGAAGATTGTCTCTTGATGAGCAATGAGGAAAGGGCAGAGTGAGGATGATGCTCACAGCAGTTCCTTAACCAAAATGTTGACGACCCGACCACCTGAAGGGCAACACGTGAACACCATGACATACATGGGGAATAGGAGCTGCGTGTAGTTTTAAAGCACCATAAACAAGCACAGCTGGTATTACAGACAGTATTCTGGGGACAATCTAGGCTCTTTAGCATAATGTTTATGAAACACAGAGACTGGCATGGCCCTCGTCAGTTTTCCCTAGGAGTCATACAAAGTAATCTTTTATTAATCTTATTTTAAATTTGTTACCATTGTACATGATCTCAGAAGACCAAGTAGAAAACATACTATATAAATCAAAAGCATAAATGAATATGAAAGAGAAAACAATTACATGCCCAAATAAAAATTTCTGCCTATTCTGTTACACTAAGAAAGCATTTTGTAAATGTAAATATTGTACACAAATGTTAAATAAATATATTAATGAAATCTTCCTCTGGGTTTTTTTTTTTTTTTTTTTTTTTTTTTTTAAATAAGAACCTCAGTAAGGCAAAGAACTATAATTTCACATTTAAGAGTTCTCTCAGGCCCACATTTCCAGATCCAAGTTACAGCAGGGAAGCCATGATCTTGGCAGAGACAATGAGGGTGATGGTTGGGGGCCACAACTAGGTTCAAGTCCCTACATTGCCATTTTATAGCTATGTGACCTTGGAGAAGGCTCATGATCTATTCAAGCTCTTAATTCAAAATGTGTAAAATGTAATGATTCTTTCCATTTCCAGTTGTTGTTTTGGAACAAAATGAGATTATTTAGAGGATGGAGCACAGTGGCTGCGACACCGTGTTCACTGGTACCATCATGCTCTAGCTCATTAGCAGGCACGGATCAGGATCACATACTCATATGCCTTGAAATGCACCAGGCAGGCTCAGGATAAACAGGTGACTGGCATGGCTGATGCCCTTACCTTGGAAGATCTGGACTGGACAACAGCCCCTGTATCTTTCTCAATCAATCCCCTCTGACAGTTCCGAATCTAGGAGGGATGGGATTAGCCCATTGCCAGCTGGCTCTCTGCAAATTAAGTCTAGCCAGCTTGGCTTCTGATTCTTTATTAAGGAATTTGATAATAATCTTAAAAGTGATTTCTGGAGTGAATTCTTCCTGAAACAAATTGTCACCTGGAAACATATAAAGGATAACACTGTCTCACACAAACAGGAAGCCGACTATACAGTAATTACTTTGGAGAACTGTAAAGATTAATGTTATTCATGATAGAGAAAGAGATTCCACTTTAGGCAGATTTTCTATGTGGCTACAGGGTATCAATATTTTCCCTCTTTTGTTCCATTCAAAACACAGACACTGAGTGCATTCATTAGAATCAGTAGGATTTACTCCACGTAACAACTTGGAATAAACTGAGATGCAAAGGACACAGTCAGTACCTCATCTGCTGGTGAGGCTGCACCTGCTAGCGTTTCACTGCTGTCTGTCCGGAGAGCCCTCTGCTCAGCAGCTTCGGACCCTCCGTGGAGAGGCTGGCTGACACAAGCACAGTCACTTCACTAGGAAAACCACAGCTTCCTCTGCACAACCAGGGTCCTGGAAGACGGTCTTTTAACCAAACAGTGTGGATGTTGCCTTATTGACGTCATGAAAGATTTGGCGTATCAGTATGGCAAACTTTGTTCCCTGTTGGACCAAAAAGAGATATAAGGCTTAATTAAAAAACAGCCTGCCTCTCTTAGTCGCTGCAACCAATTACTAAATGATCTTATTAACACAAATTCTTAAGGGTCTAGCATGTGTGCAAACATCCTTAATAGTCAGTATAATTAGATTCTGTACAACAAACAGGCTGCCTAGTTTCATGAAGAAAAAAAATAATAAGCCCAGAGTGAAGACGGGTTCAAGTCTGAAGTCAAATACTGTAGCTGCACAACCTTGGACACAGTCATCTCACTTCTCAGAATGCATTTACTCATCTATAAAATGGGAATGATACTATTTACTTCAGTTCCTCACAGACTGTGGTGGAGTTAACAGTGTGTGGAAGTGCTATGAAACTGTAAGAGAAACTGCCGTGTAAATGGTATTGTTATTACCAGTTTTTATAAGAATTACTGTAACACCATATCCTTAGACCATATCAGCAAGCTGACACCTGACAAATGAGAACTCATTACTGAGCCATATCCCATTGTCTCTGGTTCTTTTCATCCTCAGCTGATAGGGTGGACCTATGTTCCCCTGTTAGCATAAATCCTTGGTAGAGGGCATTTCTCTAAAAGTGGGAAGGATTTCTAGCCCCCATCCCATCCCATCCCATCCCATCCCATCCCATCCCATCCCATCCCATCCCATCCCATCCCATCTCTTCCCACATACTCTTATACCCAAACAAATGTCACTCACAATTCCTAAAGCAAGAAAGGGAAACAGAGGAAGATGTAAACAGCTCTGTTTTAGGTTTCTCCACTATGTCAAAGTTCTTTATAGATCCAAATAAATGGCCACAGCCTCAACTCCTGAAATCTCTGTGTAACAATAACTATTTGCTATTTGTTGAGCACTTACTATCCATGACATATGTTTTTGATGTGGACTCTCTTATTTAACTCTCATGACAAACACATGAAATACTGTTACTACTCCGAATTGAATGACTAGAAAATTGAGACTTGGAGGGTCACTCAACTTTCCTGAGGTTACACAGCTGGTAAGTGTCAGATACAGGACAAGAGCTCATGTCTGCAGAGCTCCCAAGTGCATGCTTTGACCACTACGCTATCAAATTTTCCCTGAACTGTTCTACTGTTACTGTTAGTTCCATCTAGAACCTACCCCAGGGAATTAGTTTCAAATTATATACTAACAAATATTTATTGAGTGCTTACTGTCTGCCAGGTACTGCTCTAGGGAGAGGGTGATCATTAGCTATGGATGAATCCAGTCCCTTAATCCTACAGAGCTTCCAGATAAGGCTAAAGAATAAACTACAGCTTTCTCTTTAAGGTATGTTATAGTGCTTTGCATTAGGGAAAAAATCTCTTAGATTAAAATACAAACTCATGAGGACTTTCTTTATTGTTTATAAAAAGATTCACCTTAAGAGCCCTTTATTTTCATTCACTCAATCAGTAAAACGACAAATACTTGTTAGGTGCCTATCAGGATTCAGATAATGTGCTAGCCAATATCTAAAAGTAATATTTCATCTATAAACCCTTTGTTTACTAACAGCTATTTCAGAAATACTAGAGAACATCTAATGTTAATATATGTTAATTCTCAATGAATCATCTTGATGGGAAAAGAAGATGGTTGTGATAAAAGGTATATATATACATATATACAGATAGACATCTATATATATATACCTTTTAGCTCAAGAATTTTAGACTCTTCCCACTTTAAACTTTTACAAAGGTCTTGCCTTCTTATTTTGTTCTGTAGAAGAAATATTTATAAGCAGTACAATAGCTAAGAATTAGGATGTAAAAAAAAAAGAGGTAAAGGGAAAAGTAAAAAGCAGCATAGATAATCCAGAAGCTAAGTAAACTCTTGAATAATATCAATATTTATATGTGTTTTCCATGGTTTCTAAGCTCCCAGATCAAATCCAGCTTTACTTTGTCTGAATGGTGATACCATTTTGTACCATAAAACTTATTTTCAGATTTGTGGGGATTTCTCTTTGGAAGAGAAGGAAACAGCCTTGCCATTAAATTATGTGTTTACTGTATTTGTCCCTTATTCCTGTATTTGTAAACAAAACAATTTTGGGCACATAACAGGCACTAAATATGTACTTGCTGATTAATAAATTAAGATTCTTGGAGAGGTAACAGTACTACATGAAGGACAGCAGAGACCAAAAGCAAAGAAATCACCTAAAAGCCATTATCTTCCCATTTGTTGAAGGCAGTTAGTATATAGTAGCTAAGAAGCCAAGTCTATCACTTTCTATTTCTGTATCTTTAGACAAATTACTTAATCTTTCTGTGCCAGTTTATCCTCATCTATAAAAACAAGGATAATGAGAGTGTCTATACTGTACCACTGTTATGAGAATTAAATTAGGTAATACATAGCAGCATTTACAACATTGGCACATAAGTATTTAATAAATGTAGCTATTATTATTTGTGTTTCTTCTATTTTTGTTAATGCAAAATTCATTAAAATGAGAAAATAAGATATAATAAATTAATTTCAAAAATAATATAAAATTTAGCCCTGGCCAGTTTGGTTTAGCAGTTAGAGTGTTGGCCCGCAGTCTAGAGAGACGCAGGTTCAGTTCCCGCTAAGGGCACGTACCTCAGTTGCAGTTTGTCCCTAGCTCTGGTTGGGTTGTGTGGGTGACAGCCACTCTATGTGTCCTTTCATGTCGATGTTTCTCTCTCTCTCTCTCTCTCTCTCTCTCTCTCTCTCTCTCTTCCTCTCTCCCCCTCCCGCTCTATCTGAACAAAAAATGGAAAAATATCCTCGGTTAAGGATAAAAAATAAAACAAAATAAAAAATAATATAAAATTTAGCCCTTATCACCACTTGTTAGTTTTTTTTTTTTAACCACTTAAGCTTAATTTAAATAATGAAATTCAAACTTGAGTTCCAGGTGAAGATGGCAGATTGCACATATGCATCTACTTCCAGTCCTAAGATGGCAGGAAACAATCTTTTAAGAGGATAATCCCATAAGGATTTGGAGAATTACAAGGAGACAATAACAACAAAATGTCTTCAGTCAGACCATCACTTATTTAACTGGATTTATAACAGTTCTGGCACTGGTTACTGCTTAGAAGGAAAGGATGAGATGTGGAAGGAAAAACACAACTCAGCATCCAAGAGATATGGGAGGAAACAAAAATATCCAACCTATGTGTAATTGGCATCCCAGAAAGAAAAGATAAGGAGAAATAAAACAGAGAATTTTCAAAAATGAAATGGCAGATACCACACAACAGTTCCAAGATACTCAAAGAACATCAAGTACAATAAATGTTCCCCTCCCAAAAGGACTCTCATACCACAGGTATATCATGTTCACACTGCTGAAAACCAGAGGCAAAGAGAAAATTATGAAGACAGTGAAAAGAGACACATTCCATATAGAGGAATAATGATTAACAATAAGAATTGCAATAGACTTCCCATGGACATTATGCAAGACAGAAGATAATGAGATGTTATCTCTATTGCTGAATAATAACAAAAACCTGTCAAGTCAGAATCCCATACCCAGCAAAAATATCCCTCAAAAGGAAGTAGAAATAAAGACTTTCCTGAATCAAAACCCAAAAACAAATCTGAGTAATTTCATTACCAGTAGATCCACACTATAAGTATTGTTAAAAAAAAAAAAAAAAAAATCTTCAGGCAGAAGGAATGTAACAGTAGACAGAAATTTGAATCTACACAAAGAAATGATGAGCAGTGGACAGCAATAATGAAAGATAAAGTTTAAAATTCATGTTTTATTCCTTTCAATTGTTTTGAAAGATAACTATCTAAAGCAAAATAGGAGTATTGTATATTTATAGCGTATGTAAGAGTAAATATGTAGCAACAATAGAAAAAGAATGGGAGGGAGAAATAGGGGATATATTATTGTCCTTATACTACATATGGAACAGAGTATTATTTAAAGTTTCAAAAGAGGTATACATGATAATTCAAAAGTGGAAATAACATTAAATCATAAAATATTTTCAATCAAAAGGGAGAAAAAAAGAAAGCACAAATGGAACAAATAGAAAACAGTTGGTTAGGTGGTAGATTTTAATTCAACCATATCAATAATCATAGTAAATATAAACCTCACTAAATCAAACATAGATTGTTACATTAGATAAAAAGTACGACCCAACTATATGCAACCTACAGAAATACCACTTTAAATATAAAAACATAGATTGGTTAAAAATAAAAGGATGAAAAAAGACATGCCATGCAGCCACTACTTAAAAGAAAGCTGAAATAGCTTTATTAAAATTAAAGTTGACTTCAGACAAGAAATATTACCAGTGATAAAGAGGGTTATTACATAATGAAAAGGGATTCAATTTCCCAAGAAGACAAAAACATTAATGATTTTATGCCTATAAATTCAACAGCTTACAGCAAATGGACAAATGCCTTGAAAAGCACATCTTACCAAAATTATACAGGAAGAAATAGAAAAATTCAAATACCTTTATATATTTTTTCCAAAATTGAATTCATAATTAAAAACCTCTCAACAACAACAACAAAAACAAAAACCCAGGCACAGATGGATTTATTCATAAATTCTACCCAAGTTTTAAGGAAAAAACTAGAACCAGCATTACATAAAATCTCTGAAAAAACAGAAGGAAATACTTTTTAAGTTGTTTTATGAGGCCAGCATAACTCTGATACCAAAACTTGACAAAGACATTACAAGAAAAAAAAATTATTGACCAATATCCAGCATGAATAAATATAAAGGCCTCAATATGATGTTAAAACACTAAATTCAGTATTATATGAAATGGATAAATGTTATTTATAAATGGAGCTAATGCCAGGATTGCAAGATGGGTTTCACATTATAAAATCAATAGTTATAATGCATCACACATTAACAGTATCAGAGAAAACACTAATATCTCAATTGATGCAAAAACATTTTAAAAAATATTTCACACTCATCATAAAAAAAATTCTGAAAAAACGAGGAAGAGGAATTTCATCAACCTCATAATGAGCATATACAAAAAATCAACAGTTTAATGTCATTGTTAATGGTGAAATATTAAATGCTTCTGAGTCCAGGAGAAAGATGTTCACTTTACCCACATCTATTCAACTATATACCTGAGGTCCTAGCTAGTACAACAATGTAAAAAATAATATGATTTACAAATTAAAAATAAAAAAGCAAAACTGCCTTTTTTGCAGATGACATGATTTTATATATAAAACATCTTAAGAAATATTAGCCCTCCCGCCCCCGCCAATAACTACCAGAACTGAAAAGTGAAGTTAGCAAAGTCACGTGTAGCAGTGTCAGTGTACAAAATTTAACTACATTTCTGTTTTTACCAACAAACAATTAGAAAATAAAATTAAAGAGGAATTCACTCAGAAAAAAACATAAATTACTCAAAAATAAACTTAAAAGGGATTTATAAAATTTAATTTCTGAAAACTATTACATATTGCAGGAAGACAGTAAATAAAAACTTAAAACATATAACATGCTTATGGATTAGAAAAACTAATATTGCTAAAGTATCAATTCTCCCTAAATTGCTCTATAGAATCAGTGTAATCCTAATAAAAATTCCAGGAGGCTTTTAGTAAAAATTAACAAGCTGATTGTAAAATGTATATAAAAATACAAAAGATGAATTGTCAAAATAACCTGAAAATGTTGAACTTGCACTACCTGCTCTGAAGCCTTACTTTAAAACCACAATAAGACACTATTATTTGCATAAAGACAGACAAACAAGTCGATGAAATAAAGCACTGAAATTGATCCAGTATATATGGTCAATTGATTTTGAACAAAGGTGCCCTCATGTGCGCACACACTCTCTCTCTTACACACAATGGGGAAAGCAAAGTTTTTGCAACAAATGATGCTCGAACAATTGGAAATCCATATTTTAAAAACAGAAAGAAAACCTTGATGTCTACCTCACACCATACACAAAAATTTTATTGAAATAGAAGGACCTTAACATGAAATCAGAAACTATAAAGCTTCAATGTTTTCTCTAAGAAAACAGGAGAGTATCGATAGGATCTTGAGGTTGTCAAGGACTTCTGACAGGATACAGAAAAAGCACTAATCATAAAAATCATAAACTGGACATAATTAAAGTTAAGATTTTCTGCTTATCAATTGATGCCATTAAGAAAATGAGAAGACAAGCCACAGGCGGGGAGAAATACTTGCAAAGCCTATTCCTGACAAAGAACTTGTTATCTAGAACAGACAAGAACTATAAATCAATAATAAAAAGACAAGTTATAGCCTCAAACTGGAAACAACTGGAATGACTTGAATTTATAAACCAATGGTGGTATACTCATACAATGAAATACTGCTTGGGAGTTACAAGAAGTAAATCTCTGCATGACTCTCAAAGAATCATCTTGAGCCAAAGAAACCAGACCCAAGCGTACCGGCTGTATAATGCCATATAGAGCAGGTAAGTCTAATCTACAATGATAGACTATGATGAGAGAAAGAAGTGATTGTCCCCTGGAGAGGGACAGGCTGCAAAGGTGGACGAGGGAACTTTCTGGGGTGATGAAATGTTCCACAGTTTGATTGGTGTACAGTTACATGAGTGTATTCACTTGTTAAAACCCATCAAACGTACATTTAAAATAAGTGCATTTCAATGTATATAATTTATGCCTTGATTTTTAAAGAAGAGTACTTTGAAAATTCCCTTAATGGTAAGTGAAAAGAGCAAGTCACAACATGATTCCACCTATACAACATTCAAGAACAGGCAAAGCAAATAACCTATTTCTCACTGTGAAATTATTTTCTAAAGATTCTGCCATGAGAGCTGCAAGCGGTTGCCTCTGGGGAGCCTACTATTTTTCCCACACAATTAGGGACTATTTGACACTTTAAAATCCAGGCATATATAACTTCCGTAAACATAAAGACCATAAAAAAATTCATACCCATTTGCAGGTCACCGGTGTTAGCTTCAATAGAGAATTGCTGACATTCATTTCAAATAGAAAATTATTTCTGGTGGGTGAATCTGGCAGAAACTTCAGGCGGTTAAGTCCAGGAGACCGAGTCCATTTGCTGTTGGTTGTATCTGGGCCACCTTGTTACTAGTCAAGCATAAAAGACAGTGGGGGGACTCACATCAAGTGTGACAGGGCACTGGAAAGTGTGCATTAAATTAGAGTAAGAGAGTAGAACTGTGACAGGAAGCCAATCTGTACTCCCTAATTACAAAGTCTCACTTTCACCAAAATGACACAAACGTTAAGTCAGATTAAATACTGTCTAATTAACCAGCGTACACAAGACTTGAAGACCAGTGACTGGGTACTATTCAGTCAAATAAATGAAAACACAAGGACTTGCAATTCTCGGCCAGCCCAGAGCTGCCATCTCAGCCAGCTGCGACAAGGTTAGGCCATTTTGTTTTCACACATCTCTCCTTTCAGGGCTCTGCTTGTAATATTTACAGAAAAAGGCAATGCTGGTAAACAGTTTCACACAATGAGGTGTGAGAGTTGATAGGGTCCTTATTCAAGCTCTGAACTCCCCTGATGAGCTGCCAAAAGTTGTTATGAATGGCCCAGCTGACAAGGTGATGACTGATAAAGGAAAAACAAACAGCTCGGGTAATTCATGAAAACACACAGCGCCAAGACAACTCCGAGTGGCGAGTGACAGTTAAGATAATGGAATTTTGGAAGCTTTTCTTAAGGAGCCTTCTCTATACAATTATTTTGTTAATAGGTTCTCCTTTAACATAGCTGGATCTTCAACTTTTTCCACCGAATAATATTTATTGTGATCGCTGGCAGAGAGGTGCTGCTGGCCTTGGACTTTTATACAATGGTCAGTTTTTCATATAATTTCCTCTTCCCAAGGCCGGATGAATTTTAGTTGAGGCCTGTGCCTGCCATTTAAAGAAATAAAATATCCTATTTCCATGTCTATAACTAGAAACATTTCGAAGCTTTCCTCCTCCATTTCTTTCATTCATCTGCTGCAAATCTTTGATTAGAAAATAAATATTGGTTTATGCACTCAGCTGCTAATATTTTAAAGGGGAACAATTTAAATGTGGTTGAAGTCAATTTCCAATTCAGAAAACCTATTTTGGGTTCATTTTCTTAAATCAGGCATGACCAAGCAAGAAAGTATCAATTTGTCAATGCCTTGCCTTTGCATGCAATGGTTTATCATGAAGTTCAATTGTGGTTTCTGTGACAATGGCCTATTTCTCAATTAATGTTTTAGAAAGCAGAAATAGAAAAGGCATATACAAAGCATGTGTCTATGCACACAAAAGTACTATCAGACCATGCATCCAGAGGAGGAAAGAGGAAGAAGAGCTCGAGCAAAGAGGAAATATCCATGAGCTGTGTATGTTAGATCCCAGCCACCCTGGAGTCTGAGGACAGGCAGTGTGTTAGGAATGCAGAGCTGAGTCCTGCTGCCCCAGCCCCAGTGGACTCGGAATTTGCATTCTAACAAGATCCCCAGGTGACTCGGATGCACATCAGGGTTTTGAGGAGCTCTATAATTTTGATGACTGAGTTTTTCTTAATTGTTTAAGTTTTATAGCTGTAAAAACTGACAAATCTGGTGATCCATGTTTAAGAAAAAATGTAAAACTATATCATACATTATTTAAAGCTACCTCAAGGTATTTTAATGTCTTCATTCAGATTTCTTGTTTCGTCTTCTGAAGAAGTCAAGAGTATCCTCGAGCTCACCAAGACTTCTAGGGAGGACACCCCTCCTGGAATCGCTTTCCTTTCACCCCAAATATTAACAGACTTACCCAGCACATTTTTGAGTGGTTGGCACAGTGATAGAGAATGAATTTTAAAAATTCAGTCACTGTAGTGGACCATATGACTTCTATAACAGTAACAAAGACATTTTTAAAATCCTCTTTTGGCCGGCCAGTGTGGCTCAGTGGTTGAGCGTTGACCCATGCACCAAGAGGTCGCAGGTTTGATTCCTGGTCAGGGCACATGCCCAGGTTGTGGGCCCAATCCCCAGTGGGGACATGTAGGAAGCAGCCAGTCGATATTCTCGCTCATAGATGTTTCTATCTCTCTCTCCCTCTCCCTTCCTGTCTCTCTAAAATCAATTTTAAAAAATAAAATAAAATCCTCTTTTGATTGTGATCTCAACTGTCCCACTGCTACCACATGGAGTAGATTATCTCCCAGGAGAGATAAGAGAAGCAGTGGGAAAGGCCTAGACTGCAGAGGCAGCCTTCATCCTATCCCCACCCCTGTCCCAAATCAGCAAAAATCCACCACTGGATGCACATTCCTTTAGGTTTTATGGTTGTTAATATTTACAGAGTTTTCTTTAGACTTGAAGGGATCTTGAGATCTAGTCAAACTCTCAACAAATTTCCTGGCTGTTGATAAATTTAAATGCACGTAAATTCAAAACCATAACAGGGTCCAAAATGCTATAAAGACAAAAGACAAAGGGCAATGTCTACCTTGAAGTGTTGCTGCAAGGATGAAATAAGAATGCATGTGAAGGGCCTAATGCATAGTAGACACTCAAGAAATGGTGTTTGATTATGTTCACTGAAAACAACAACTCACTAATTGTTGGGCCAATAGAGAGGCCTGTTAAGTCATGAGGACACTGGGTCTTCAGCGAGTGAAGCATTGCAGTGGTGTGAGCTAGTATGCCCATCAACATGTCTGTTTATCATAAGGAGAAACCTTGGCACTGGGGTATGACAGTTAGGGTGTCATGGGGCAGTGGGAACCTGCTCAGAAAGGCCTGGTCACCACTCAGTCCCATCCCAGTGAGATACCTGGACAGAGGTACTATATTATAACACTTTCCTGGTCTTATACCCGAAGCCAACACACCCCAACAGATTCCAACCATCATCCACATAAACAATAAACTCAATGTTTTTACAGCACATCCCTCTAATTTGTTTTGCTATGATATGTATAATTACCACAGGATAAAATTGCCTTTAGTTTGATAAAATATGTTCAATTTGTATATACTTTGAGAGTTAGATGATGTATTTTTAAATGTGATGTAATTAATTTTTAACTCCTGGGGTGAAGGGAAGAATGATTACATGCAACCCTGGAAGAGGTAACAGAATCAACTGCATTACCTCACGTTTTCTGGTCTCCTGGCTGCGTTCTCCACATCGCCTTATGCATGGAGCCTGTAACCATGGTGCTCACCCATTCCACCATCCAATCACATTATTCAAGTTGAGCTGAGTGGGGCACTGTGCCCAGCACTCTACAGTGGCAGCTATGCACTAACTTCTAGAAGCTGATGCTTTAAGAAACTTATTACCCACCACTGAACAGCATACATTTTTTTTCAGTGACTGCAATGGACTCAAAACATAAAACTCTTAAATTAATTTTATATCTTCCCTCTAGAATCTCATTAATGACAAAAATACTCCTTTTTAAGAGTTCTATATTTTCAGTTATGGCTTTCTAATAGGAATAATTTGTGATACAAAAATATAACTTTACATGTGTCTTTATCAAAATAATCTAAGTAAATTAGGTAATTTATTTCTATTATTTTCTCTAATAAAAAAGCAACATTGTTGATCAAATATACATATTCTCCAGTAGCCTACCTAACCTAAGGACAGACAAAGCATTTGTAATATTCCTTAATTCATTTGCCTTCAGTTTGTTTTTTGTTTTTTTAAAAAGAGGGCAGGAATGCAGACTGGTGCAGCCACTATGGAAAACAATATGGTGTTTCCTCAAAAAATTAAAAATTGAACTGCCATTTGACCCAGTGATCCCACTTCTAGGAATATACCCTAAGAAGCCTGAAACACCAATCAGAAAGAATATATGAACCCCTATAGCAGCACTATTTACAATAGCTAAGATCTGGAAACAGCCCAAGTGTCCATCAGTAGATGAGTGGATAAAAATGCTGTGGTACATATACACAATGAAGTACTATGCAGCTGTAATAACGAAAGATCTCTTATCCTTTGAGATGACATGGAGGGACCTGGAGACTATTATGCTAAGTGAAATAAGCCAGTCAGAATATCACCTAGTCTCACTTATTTGTGGAATATAAAGAACAAAATAAGCTGATGAACAAAATAGACCCAGAGACATAGAAGAAGGGTTCAGACTGACAAACCTTAGAGGAGGAGGGCTAGGGGGAAGAAAAGAGATAAACCAAAGAACTTATATAAATATAAGCATAACCAATAGACATAGACAACAATGCCATGGGGGGGGGGGGAGCAGAATTGGGAGGTGGGTGTCAATAGGCGGGGAGGGGGCACCTGTAACAAAAATAAATAAATTTAAATAAAAAAGAGGGCAGGAACCCAAAAGCCTTTGTTTGGAAAGATAAGCCATCTTACACCAATTGACAAGGGTTCTCCTGGGCCTCATTCTACAACATTCCACTGGCCCAGTTTAGGACTCTGCATAACAGAGTGATTGCAGAGCCATTTTGCATGTGGGGGTGGGGGGGCATTTGAAAACTGGTTTTTAGGGAATAAATATCAACTCTTATGGTCTTTCAGGACTCCCCAGAAAGCTGCTGCTACAAAAGCTCAGCATGTCACCTAACTGGAAACCCTGCTGGTATGCCCGACATGCATTGAAAGTAGGTAGTGTCGCTCTGGTACTCAGCGCTACGTAACATTTATGACACACAGCAATGAATCAGACCACTTCTGACATATTACACCAGCCTCTGACATATTGCCAATGTAAAATGACATAACCCCTGAATATGATAATAATATTTAAAGTATGATAACCTACAGATCCGAATAACCAGCATATAATAACAATTTCAAATGTTGAAATGGAATGATAGAAGTCACTTTGTCACATTATGAAAATGCAACCTTCTCAGAATAATACAATAGCTATTGACAAATATTTAAAACCTGCCATGTACAGACATTATTATGAAGACTTTATATAGATTATCTCACATTTTCCTCACAAAAGCCCTCTCAGGTAGGTACTATTACTATCCCCGTTTTATAGATCAGAAGACCAGGGGGAGAGAGGTGCAGCAATGTGCTGAGGGTACACAGTGATAAGGGGCAGAAGCTCCACTG